CAACCCCCAGGGACCCCCGAGCTGGGGAACGAGCACCGGGGGCTCCCAAATCCGCCGTCCCCCCCAACGTGCCCAGATCCAGCTCGCTCTGAAATCGTGGATGATTTTGCAAGGGGATTAATTCAGTATCGAGGGGATTTTTCTCAGTGGGGCTGGGCAGCACAGCAGTTTTTGGATCATGGAATGGCAGGGAGACCTGGGCAGCTCCAGCCAGGCTGAGGGCACCAAAACCCATCCACAAACACCCCAGCACAGGAACAACCTCTGCTATTGCCTCCAGTGAGAAGGAGATGGTGAGAAAAGCCAATTTAATTGCCCAGGTTTGCAATCAGTCCTCGGGCTGAACTCAGAACCCCTAATACACGGACGTTCAATCTTGTGCTGAGGGGAGACTGAATTCCATCAGGAAGCACCAAGACACCACTTCAATGGAATAAAAACAAACAAAATCTGTCTGGGCATTGCCAAAATAGTAATCCAGATTAATAGTAATCTGATAGTAACTCCTCTCCAGGCGGAGCCTGCACACACACCCACCTCTGCACAGGGCAGAGCTGCAGCCTGCAGGGAAATCTGCTCCAAATCCAAAAGTAACCTCAGTGGGGTAACTGAGTGAGGAAAAATTGAATCTACTATCAAATCTCTTTAAAGGGGAAAAGTAGAAATTTTGTTTGGGGTTTATGTGTTCAGCAAAATGCAGAGAATTGTGGTACCTGCTCCACACCTGGGCACTCCCACCTGGGACTGCTCCTTCTTGGTTCTCCACGTGCTTTCTCCAGGCTGGTTTGCTGTACCCAAGGCAATGAAGTGTTTTTGTTTGGAGGCGTTAATGCATCTAAAAAAGTGTCAACTTTACAAAGTTCTCCCTGAAATTTTCTGCTCCTGTTTCTTTTGCAGTATCATAGATCTTCTGCCTCCCCTCTTTATATAAAGAGATGGCTAAAAAGCTAAAAAAGAAAAATCAAAAAGACAAAACAGTTTTTAATAGAGTCTTTAAAAAGCCCAGTCTCTCACATCAGAAATCTTCTAAAGCCAACTTATTAAAAATCTTTATTAGCTTCAATCAACTTTACCACAGCTCCCCCTGTGCCATCTCCTTCCCATCCCTTACAAATGATGGGCTCACTCTGTAAATTGTGAGTTTAACTCAAGCTCCATTTCATCTCCACCAACTGCAGGAGAAGGTGCCATTGCTGAGGAATTATAGTCAGCAATATTAGTCCCTGGGTATGGCATTACCATATCTGGGATGATTTAGGGACAATGAAATCCCTGTGCCATCAAGCTGCGTGATTCCTCTGACAAAAATGATCCTGCAACTCAATATCCTCTGGATGCACTCACTGAATTCAGTCCATTTCCCTTCCTTGTTCCCTTTCAGCCCACCCGTGGCAGGGCTGGAGGAAACTGTTGCTTCTTCCAAAGAGAATTGAAGGCAAAAGCAAAACTGCTGCAGGGGGAATGATTCTGAAACTCAAATGTTCATCCTGGGGCACTGTACTGGGAGGAGCAGGGCCCTGGGGAGCCCTCCTGGCATGGCCCAGTTCACCTGTTCTCGTGGGTTTTCGCCCAATTCCCTTTCAGTTTAACAGAAACCCATGGCTGGGGGAAAGGTGGCTCTGTGGGATATGGGGAAGTGACCACTGGTTGGCAACTTGCTCACATTAACTTCTGCTCAGTTTAATTGATGCTGCTTTGGGGAGAGTCCAGAGACTTTGCTCTATAATTTATCAGTAATTTCACTGTTCTTAAAACCTCAGCAAAATCCTGAAGCATTGGGAAAACAAGGATCATCCCCAGCATCCACTTCCAGCATCCCAAAGGCTTCAGCCCTGAGCAGAACTTGGCCATTCTTTGCAACTTCACCTATTAAGAGGGTAATAAATGACAACAGCAGTTTGGCCCTATTTCCCAGGTGACTTGTGCTGAAATCAATAAATGCAGAAACAAATTAGTGGCAGAGCTCCAATATTGCATGGATTTAACCCATCCTGTGCCCAGCTTCAAGGCCTGCTGTGGAGCACAGAACTCATTTGCCTTTCCGTTGCCAGTGGTGACTTTCTGGCCCCTGGATGTGTTTCCCAAAGCTCCAGCAGGACAAATCCCTTCTGCTGCAGGGCCCACCCGAGGGACCAGCCTGTTAACTGCACCTGGCAGCACCAGCCCCATTCCCAACAGATGCACAAGAGACAATTTTCCGTGTAAAATGATTACAATTTAGCAGAAAAAAAAGTCTGTTCAGCTTCAGGCGCTCTGGCAGGCGGCGATGCAGATTTGTGGTGCCTCTAACCACGAAGCAGGCACGGGCTGCAGCTCCCCAGCTCTAATTTACACAGCTAATTAGTTGGATTTACTGGCTTCAGCATCCCTCAGTCTCTATTTGCTTAAGGAGAAATAGATGAGCCCTGCCTGTCGAGTCAAGCCCAACAGGCCAATAACTCCAGCAGTGCAGGGCACAGCCAGGGGAAGCAGCTCAGCACCCAAAATATCCTTGGCTTTCTGAGGAATTTGGGAGGCAGACCCACTTAAAATCAGTTTTTGTGCTTGGCTGGAGAAAACATCCTGCAAGGACCCCCACGGGTCAGCACGGGCTGCTGGGGTGGGGAGATGGAGAAGTTAAGGAGTGACTCCTCCAACAGAGAGCAGCCCTGGGCTCCCCTTCATTAGCAGCACTTTGTTAATGACGGGGTGAAGAGGTCACCCAGCCCGTGATGGACACAGGGAGCTCCAGAACATTCCAGCTGGAAATTGGGCACAGGCTCCCCCTCAGAGCCAGCTCCTCTGCAAGTACTTGGGCATTGGTAGGTGCCCAGCAAGGTAAATCTCTACAAAAGCGAGGTATGCTGCTTCCAACTTTCTGATTTTAACATTTAATTATTATTTTCTTTTCCACAGTGACATCCCACTGCCCAGCCGCCCCAAGGACTGCTTGGTGGCTGTTTCTGGGTGGGGTTTAATGAAGATTATTAAGGATTATTCACCATTATTTCTTTTCTGTTAGACAGAGCAGCTCCTGGGGCCACATCCCAATCTGCCTTTTGTGCCTGCAGCCGCTCCAGGACACTTCCAGCGCCTTGGAAATTTCTGGATGTGAAACTCTGCCCTGCTCGTTTTCACTGGGTTCCCTCTGAAATCAGCACAGGTTGAAACAGGTCACTGAACTTAATCACAAACAGAAATCCCAGGGAAAGCCAAGCAGAGACAGAAAAAATATTCATCTGACAGCCACTGAAGGAGACATTTACACAGGGGGGTTTGGGTTTGGCTCTGCTCTGGAGTCTAAGCAGCAATTATAAAAATGGAGCATTTTTACTCAAAAAATCTCGTCTCCTGCTTAGTCACTACCCCAGCCAGGTCTGGATTCGATTAGCAGGAGCAACAATATTCAAGTTTAAGTGCAGAAATGTAACACATCATCAGTTTTATGGAGCCAGTTCTGGTTTCACTCCCAAGAAAAGCTCACCAGAATTTTACTTTTCTCTGCAGCAAGATCACTGTATTCCTCCCTGCTTCGTACAGTGCTACGTTTTAGAAAATAAAGAAAAATTAACTCAGTAGATTTATTTACATGTTCTGTTTTCAGCCTCCAAGTAAGCCAAGGCTCTAAAAACACCCTGCAGTGATCTAGCTTTTAGGCAAGGAAACCTCACTTTCAGGTAAGGAAATCTTGCTTTTCAGGTGTGAATTACAACAATTATCTGAATGAAAGCACAAACACAGGCACGCAGAAAGCAAACGTTCTTAAACCACATGAAGTGAACTAAAGGCAGGAGAAATTAGAGAGCATTAAGAACAGTCCAAGCCAAACCGTATCCAGCTTTATTAAAGGTACTTTTCATGAACAATCATGGTAATTTAGGCAGGACATGGGCTACAATCCGCAACATTTTACAACAACTGTCAAACTCCCCTCCCTTTGTGGACTACCGGAATGGAGAAGTTGCTAAAAACCGTCAGAACGTTCGGCTGGCACCGGGTGAGGTTTAGAGTGAGGGTGGGCGCGCTGTCTGACAGCGCTGCACAAACCCACCCTGACTTGGAGGGGAGCACGAACTGCAGGGGCAGAAATTCTGCATCTGAGGGTCCACAGGGGGAGAGAGGCAGAGCAGCTCCTTTCTGAGGCAGAACAGGCCAGGCTGGACGGCAGCAATGCAGACCCAGCTCTGTGGTTTGGAGTGACGGCTCGGGGTGAGCGGGGGACACCGGGGCAGGGCTGGTGGCACCGAGGGAGCTCTGATGTTCACCGAGACAACGGGAGGAATCCCTTCTTCCTCCCTGCAGGAAGGGCCCTTCTTCCAAAAACTGGGGGACTGGCAGAAGCTTTTCTTATTAAAATTTAGGTTTTGAGAAATAGACTAAATGGCTTTTGTCCCCATTGCCCCCCACCCCCAGAACACAACAATGAAGCGGTCTGTGTGCTAACAACATAGCTTAAAAAAAAGTAAACCAAAATTCTGCATTGTTATAAAACTTGATAAAAAATAGTATTTCAAACTGTACAGTCACCAGAAGTACACAGTTATCAAAAATTCACACGTTTTACTTGGCTTCACCAGCACCTTCGGCTTTCTGTGCCTGAAAGGAAAAGGGGAACAAGTCAACACGTTAAAAACTGGACACTCATTTTTCTACACAGCAAAACCCTGAGCAGAACAAATCCTCCCTGGGCTGCACAACTCTGATTTTTAATAAAATTAAATTGAACATCTGTTGCACCATAAAACACAACTTAGAAGTTGCTATTTGAATTCACAGAAGAACAGTAACTTCCATGTGGCAACATCCCCTGGCAAACAGACAATTTAACTCTTTACCAGCACCCCCTGTGAGTGTTGTAAGCAGCACCCACAAGCCAAGGCCTGTCCCAGTCGAGGGAAAGGAATCAATGCTGCTGCACACCAGCCTGCTGGGATACCTGGTCTGTTTTGGCATCTCCATTTTCTGCAGGGTTGTTTCCCTCCTTGCCAGCATCAGCTTTTCCTTTCTTCCCCTTGGGCACCTTCTCGCTCTTCTGTGAATGCAAGACAACGTTTGCTGTCAGCTCCCAGAGCCAGGCACAGCCACAGCCCCCGTTGGGGTGCTGGCCCCAAAACAACACAGACACCCAGGTTTGTTTGTGAAGGGATTGACAGCAAGTGGGAACTCCTCACTTGGGTATTTTTTATGCAAATTCTGCGAAATCTGCAAGTTGTCAGTTCAGCTTTAGGATGCAGCTCCATTTCCTCACTGCACAGCTGTTCATCAAAGGTTTGTCAGCTGTTATCATTGCCAGGCAATGCCAAACCTCATCACACATTTATTCACCTCTCCAAACAGCCCTGACCCAACCCAACTCACCTTTGGAGCTGCTTTTTTAGGTTTGGGCTCTGGCTTGGGAGGAGCGGGCTTCTGTGAGGGAGAGAAAGCCTGGTCAGACACTGGTGGAGTGTTGGGCTTGACCTCCCAGCCCTCCCAGTGCCACCCTGCCATGGCAGGGACACCTCCCAGCCCTCCCAGTGCCACCCTGCCATGGCAGGGACACCTCCCAGCCCTCCCAGTGCCACCCTGCCATGGCAGGGACACCTCCCAGCCCTCCCAGTGCCACCCTGCCATGGCAGGGACACCTCCCAGCCCTCCCAGTGCCACCCTGCCATGGCAGGGACACCTCCCACCCTCCCAGGGGCTCCCAGCCCTGTCCAGCCTGGCCTGGGCACTGCCAGGGATCCAGGGGCCTCCCCACCCTCACAGCCAGGAATTCCCTCCCCATACCCCACTCTCTGGCAGTGAGAAGCCATTCCCCCTTTGTCCTGGCATTCAGGCCCTTGTTCAAGTCCTGCTCCAGAGAAACAAACTACTTTCTTTTCTTTTTTGTTAACGTTCAGGCCAAATAGCTTCATTTTAGGAAAGCAAATAAAGCGTTTGAAACTGCAGCAGCTGTTTGGTTTGTCCATTATTTTACCACTCCCACAGCAGCACACAATGGGGCAGGGCCTTAAGGCAGGAACAGAATTTGCACCTCCAGCGCTGACACACATTTGCACACCCAGAGGTCGTGTGTAAAACCAGCGAGTGTGGTGACACCAGCAAGAGGATACTCACAGCAGATAACCTCGCTGATCTCCGCTGGGGCTGTTGGAAAAGGAAAACAGTTCTATTGAAATGACATGGGATACCAACTCTCAGCATCTCACAGACTTGCTCTCTTCCCAAAGTAGTCAATCCCCAGAAATTATATCTATAGCTCTTTAGTTTGTAGAAATTAAGATGGTAGTTTCCCAGTTTCCCTTTTTCTGTGTTCTCAAGAAACATGAGGCCATGCTGTTGAAATTACTAATAGCTAATGGTAGTTGAGTAGATTTTCCATGGTTAAAAAGCAGTTAAGACTTTGAAAAGTCAGAATCAATTGAGATAACCCTCCCCGCTAGTCCCCAGTTATTCTGACGGCGTTAAACCTCATCTTCCAAGGGAAACACTTGATGATCCAACTTTCTCAAAACACTGAACTTCTTACCTCATCCTTAACTTTGGCCTTATCGCCCTTGGTCTCTCCTTCAGCCTGGGGACAGGGACACAGGTTGTAGGGACCGGTGATGGGCAGGGCTCCCGTTCCCCGCCGTTCT